TTTTGGCTCAGTAACGCTCTCGCGTTCCTTCGCTTCCGTCAGCGGCGCCTTCGGCGCCGGCCGCGCTGCCGGCGGCAGCCAGGGGCAGGCAGCGCAGGGCAAGCTCCGCATCGGGCTTTACAGTCGTAGGCTGCGCGCAGTTCGACATCATGCTCCCGTTCCTATGGTCTGCACATGCCTGAGAATGTATGCCAGGATCTTTCTTGTCAATAGCGAGCTTCAGGGCGAGAGCGAGCTACGGTACCGGAGCGCGCCTTCCCCAACAAGTTGTCCGCAGTGGCTCAAGTAGATAAATAAGAGTTTAATAAACCGAATGAGTTTATCTAAACCTTTGATTTATGCTAGTCACTGTCTGCATCTGAGATATGTGCCAGCGAGCCAAAACAACCATCCGGCGGGTGGGTCCCTGGTGAAGTCGCGGAATCGCTCTACTAGTCCCGTCTCCGCAACTCATAAATGTATTAAATCAATTTATGTACCTGAATGTGGGGAAGAGGCTGTTCATACAGGCCCTGGCAAAAGCTTTGCTGCCACTCGTAGTAATCTTTGGTCCCTGTGAATTTTTGACTGGGGATAGAGGCCCAGACGCAATCCAGGTCGTGCATGACTTAACGCTTGGTTACATGAAGGCAAGGATGTTGTTGTAAAGCGGCGGGCACGCTCGGGCGCGCTCACAGACTGCAGCACAGTGGCGCTGGTGCGACAACACTGCTGCATGACCCGCGCGAAACACCAAAATCCCCCAGCTCAGTACACAGAGACGCGCTGCTGCCCACCGCGGCCAATGCCGAGCCGGTCGTTGAGCGAAAGCAGCTCATCGCAGCCCGGCATAGGCATGGCTTTTGCCTTTGCACGATTGCCCCATGTGTACATGCGGTGCTGCGTCATGCGCTCCTGCTGGCAGCGGAGGTGCGTGCCCTCATAGTACTCCGACTCCACCTGGGGAAAGGGACAGGGGCAGAGGAAAGGGAGAGGGGGAGGCTGGTACACGACAGAAACATTTATGCACATGATATGTGCATGCGCAAGCCAAAACGCACATGTGCACAGTAGCATATCATCCCGCTTGCTGCAGCGCACTTTTTGCATTTGTCCCAGAAGGCAGATGCTCTTGTTGTGGTGTGATTGCCCCCCGTTCCCTCACCTGCCGCTCCAGCGCTGTCCGCCCATGCGTCCCTGTGCCACCATACTTGGCCTCAAACTCGCCCACGTGCTTCACATAGTACGGCACCTGGCGGACGAGGGGTGCGATGGCGCTGCGGCATGAGGGTCAACGAGCTGCAGTTGCGCGCGTGAGAATGCAACAAGGCCAGACGCACAAGGGAGCATTTCACAGCTCAGGGCCGCACAAACCTGCAGGCGCGTGGTGGCCAGGCCCTGCGTGTACTTGGCGTCACGCTGCAAGGGAGAGTCGAGAGTGCACAGGACAGGCTGAGCGCAGCGGGAAAAGTGGTGGGGCGACCCGCGCAGTGCGACAACACCAGCGGCATGTCGAGACACGACCGACCATCACACGACTGCGCATGGCTGGTGGGTACCTGCAGCGAGTAAGCAGGGTCGGCTGAGCCGCTGAAGAGGGTCATGAACACCAACAGCAGCACCGGCAGCAGCTGCGGCGAGGGAAATGGGTGGTGAGAGCACGTGAGGGCGCTGCGGCAGGGTAGGGCGGACTGCGATACAGGCCAACCCAGTCTCAGCCCGTGCCCTGGCAGTTGACTGACAACAGGGCAGGGCCTCGTGCCACCGTAAGGCCCACCTGCAGCAGCCCAAGCATGGCACCACGCTGCTGCTCCTGCGGGCTGGGCGGCGCGCCCGTCCGCGCCCGCCGCTGCGCAAACTGGGGGTTCCCGAAGTGGCTGCGGTAGACGCGGTGGGGCCCAAATGCACCGGCCCTGGTAGGGAGGGAACATGAATGCGACCAAAGTGTACAAGATAGTCAACGGCATGATTGCAGCAACAGCACCACAGCACAGTGCTGAACGGTGCCATGACTGCAAACGCCTGCAAGCTCGCCATCCTGCAGCAGGTCACAACAAGTTCGTCACGACATCATCAGAAGACCACATCATCTCACCCAAAGAACATGTTGAAGATCTCCTCTGGGTCGATGTCCGCCTCGCCGTAGAATGCGCCACCACCCATCGGCCCAAACGGCCCGCTGCGCGTGCGCGCAGCGCCGCCGCGGCCAGCATTCGCAGTAGCCGCAGCATCACGAGACTCGTAGCCCGTCCTGGCATGATTGATCGAGGATTGATTGAGGACGGGCTCAAAAACGTACCCCCGCATGGATGGACTAAAAGCAGCCGAGCCAGAACTGGTGAGCCGGGTGCTGTGAAGCTGCTGCAGGCCTCATAGCCCTTCAAGCCAGGTGTTGGCATCACACCAGGGAACCACAAGGACGTCTGAGGGTTGGTGGCAAAGGTGAGCGTCCAGCCCGCCCACCTGTCATAGTGGGCGCGCTTATCAGCGTCGCTGAGGCAGCTGAAGGCGCGGCTGACGGCCTTGAAGGCCTCCTCCGCCTTGGGGGCCTTGTTCTTGTCCGGGTGCAGCTTCAGGGCCAGCTGCGGCAAGGGGTGCGGCGAATGAAGGGGTGCGGTGCGTGCAGGGGTGCGCCAGTTGAGGGGTGCGGCAGTGCAGATATGCAGAAATTGATACAGCTGCCATGGCAGATGGCTGGCCATGGCAGATGGCTGGATGACATTTGGTTTCGCGCGGGCGCGCAAATAATAGTAGGTAGCCATGATTGAACGCACAACCAGCAAATGTCTGCAACGTTATGCCACACATGCATGGGCTGCCTTGCCCACCCGGACCTACTGGCTGCTGCTGCTTTTGCGTGTGCTTGGCGCAACCGCAACCCTGTAAGTGCGCCCCCTGTAAGTGAGCCCCCAGGCGCGACCGCAGAGTCGCTTCTCTGCACCTTTCTGTATGCACGCTTGATTTCGTCGTCGTCCGCCCCCTTCGCCAACTCCAGGGTTTCGTAGTAATCCTATTGGAAGTGTGGGAGGAGGAGCATGCACCGCGACAGCTGACAATGCCACGGACACGAGCTCAGCATCTGGCAGCTGCATTCAAGCTGGGTGGCACACCCAGCGCCGCACCCAGGCCATCGCTCCAGCCTGTGGCTACCGTATATGCTAGTGCACAGCACCACGATGGCACCCACCTTGGCCTTCAGGATCTGGGCCACCAGCTGCCGCTGCTCAGGGGTCACACTTGGGTCCATCGCCGGTGCTGCCGGTGCCGAGGCCGCGCCATTTCCCTCTGCGCCAGCACCCCCGCCAGCTGCCCCGCGCCGCCGTAGGCCCTCCACTCCCTCACCAAACGCCTCCCCATTGCCTCCACTGCCACCAAACGAAGTACCACTGCTGCCAGTTTGCCGTTGCTGACCTTGATGCCTGTGGTGGGAACCGCCATGGTGGCCCGCGCGCGAGTGCCCGCTGCTGCTGCCACCTTGCTGCTGCGGCTGCGGCGGCCGGGGTGTGCCGTCCTGTGACGAGCTTGCACGACCGCCCCGCGCACTGCCCCCGGACAACGCGTCTGCGACGTCCGCCGCCAGGTCCTCGGTCTGAAGGGTGGGGCGATTTGGTGCATGCAGTCAGCACAGGCAATACCCAGCGCGTTGGATGCAGCAATAGGTGTCTATCTCGGGGCATCCCACCCAGCAACATCCTGTTGCCTGCAACGCATCTCAAAACAACATAAGCATGCACTTATGAGCTGCGCACCTGCTGGCAGCGGTACAGCCGCAGCGCCTTTTGTGCGAACTTCTCGGCACGTGTCGTGTCACCAGCGGTCAGCGCTTGGCGTGCAATCTCCCAGCACTTGAGGCCCTCATCGCGGTTGGCTATGTCTGACATGGCGCCGTGCCCTCGTAATAGCACGGCCCCGCAGTCCCCACCGCTCCAGCAGCGTCAGGCGTCCGCTGCTGCAGCGGCAGCCGCTGTCAACGAGGTGATGCTGCTTCTGCAATGCCAGTGTTCAGGACTACGACGAGCCGACCAGGCCACGAAAGGAGATACTGCAGCCTGAAGGAGGCAAGGGGCGAGCACAGCTGCAACAGAGTGAGCGCAGGCACTAGCCACCTAATCGGCTGGATGCGGCATGCAGCACAGCTCCGCCGCAGCGCCAAGCGCGCGCCTGTCCCCTCCATGTTAACAGGCGGCGCGATCGGCAGCTCTCAAGGGACCTTGCCGTGGGATCAAGCGCGCGTTGAACTGGCTGGCTGCATGCGGGCACTCGGGCGTCGGCTTGAAGACACCGTGGGCATGCTGTGATCACATAAGTTCCCCCACCTCCACGCTTGGCTTCTGAGAACTGAACTGCGTCAAAGCCTTGAGCTATAGCGAGTGACTCGAAGGAGACGTGTCTGGTCTGATGGGGTGCCTCTCCAACACAGGTGGTTCGCCCTTGATCGTACGGTACGCCGGGTGTTCAGGGTACTTTGCATCTACAGTAAAAGGCACCAACTCACAATATCTGCAACGGGTATGATACTGTAGAACGGGTGCGGGCCGTTACCCCACTCGCTTCACGCACTCTCTCTCTGCTTGCCGGACGCTGGCCACTGCGCGCGCCCCTGGTGCATTGGTGACGGCCAACTATGACTCCAAGGTGGTTGAGGTGGCATGTAAGTTCAATGTTATATACTCAAGCAGGCGATAGTACCAAGGAGCGGGTGTGCTTCAGGCGTTGGCTGGGCGGAAGCACTGCCTTGTTTGGTACAGTTGGTGAGCAAGTACTGTGGACTTACTGCTCGAAGGTCATGGTGTGCCCCGCAGGAGGGGGCGGGGCGGAAAGGTGCGCGATGCCTTTCGATAGAAAATTTGTACGCCTCAGTGTTGGATGAGTTGGGCAAAGCACAAGTGTGTTAGCAGGCTAGTCGCAGCTGGCACCCGGGTAACCCGGCAGGTTGTCTGGCTGGTGATACAGGAAGGCGACCTTGACCCCGCCAAGGTGATGGGCGCCAAGGTGATGGACTGCGCCCACCACCTCTGTGGTTGAGTGTGCACGCCCTCTCTCATTGCCGCATGATCTGCAACCATACATCACACCCTTGGTGCCCAGCCAAGGTGGCGGCTGTAAGCCACAGCTGCCCGGACGGGAACGAACCAAGGTGGCCATGCAGAGGGAATCGAGCGCTCTGGTGCACCGACCTGGCGACGGCAGACAACTGAAGCGGGAAAGCACCACAATGAATAAGGGCCCAACAGCTGTCGGCGTATTGCCATTCTGCGTAAATACAGCTCTGTACTCTCTGAACACTGCTTCTAATGCTGCAGCCACGGGTGTTGCCGTGGCTATTGCTTTGTTGCCGCTGCCGCTACCGCTGCCGACACTGCTGTCGCCGCTGCTGCTGCAACCGCTGCCCACACACCACTCACAAGACAATACCCAGCACTGTATGACCCAGCATGCCTCCGCCCCAGCAGCACCCTGCCACCTCTGTTCAAACGGATCAATCACTGCTGCCATCTTGTCGCGCATGAAGGGATGGCTGGTCAGACGGGCCTCTGTGGTGGGTTGCTTGAATGTATACACGGTCAAATCAATACGACAACACACATGGCTCTACGGTAGTGTCCTGTCGTGCGCGTCACGATGTCAAAAGTATTTTTTTGAGGCGTCTGAGGGGAGTTTGGATCGTGTCGCGCGTGGCCAGGGGGCATGCATGGCGGGAGTCCCACTGCTTATGCTGTGCACGAGCTGTGCACATGCCGATGCCCCCTGCACTGCAGCCCTGGTTTCGACCGCCAACAGAGGCGCTTGCACTGCTCACCCCACCCGCGGGGATTTGTACTGTACTATTCGGGCGTCTCAATTTGTTACACCTCCCATCTTCGCGCAGCAGCAGCAGGCTCGCAGGAGGGCAGGAGGAGACTCGGGCACAATGCAGCGGGCCACCCCGGCCCTTGGCCTGCTGCAGCAGGCCACTTGCGCCGCACGTGAGTCCCGAATGGCTGGCAGGTTGGACCAGGGCCCGGAGATCTGCTCAGCCGGGTGATCTGCGGACCCTGGCACTCACAATGCTGGGGTTCCTGGCATGCGTGACGTTTTCTGGGACTCACGGAGCATTGGTGATGAGTCTGTCTGGCCCTGGCTAGCACAGCACGTCGGCCAGGGTTGCAGCCCGCAGCAGCGGCGGTAGCGCAGCACATGCAGTGCTGTGGTCGACTGCCACTATCACGGCACCCCACCTGGCAAACCATCAACGGGCTTGACGAACGTGCAGGCTGTGCTGCGGGCGCATCTGTGGAGGGCGCAAACTTGTGCAGCGGCAGGGCGTTCTCGTCCTACACGTTCTCGGGGTGCGCAGGGTGGCGCTTGTTGTTCGGTTGGAAGGAGGAGCGCAGCAGCGACAGCAGCAACGGCTCCCTGCCTACAAAGAATGCTTTGGTTGGCATCCATACCCTTGCCTGAATCTGCATGCACAGTGGGCGCGTGGGCGGCAGCTGCAGCACAACACGGCGCAGCGCAGACGCCTTGGTTTCAGCGACTGTGTTTGCGGCATGCCGACGGCTGAACCACCAGGATTGCATGCCACAGCAATTCTGTTCTGTTGACGTTCTCCTCCATCACCTGTTGTTGGTACTTGTGCAGCATCTCTGATGCACCCCCGGCAGCGGGCTCATCATCAATCAAGGTGACCTCCAAGGCGGATGCCAAGGCCGCATCAGTCGATGTCAAGGCTGGGCCAGCAACAGCCCGTGCATCATACGCACCCAACAGCATTCGCAAGTGAGCCAAGGGATTGCGCCATGGCAGGTCTGGGCGTGCTGGGGGTCAAGTCTTAGTGCAGCGGCCTGCATGTGACTCAGTGCGTCGCATTCGAAGTATGGCCGCAGTGGCGCTGGCGCTTGGTGCCGCCCATTACGACGTTGTGTGTCAGGCGCAGCAATCTGATCGTACAACATCAGCCTGTGAGCACGCGGTGCACGCATGGGAATCCCATCACCCCCCACCCCACACCCGGTCGCGCCACAGCTGCTAGCCGATCACCACAGCCACTCTCCACTCCCACCCCCAGGCTACAGGCTTCCCCCCTGACCCTGTACGACACGCCTCGCGTGAGCGTGCTGCACGCGTCGTTCCTGGAGCACCTGCTGCGGCTGGCGCACGAGCGCTACAGCCTGCTCTCCCAGTGGCCCGACTTCAGCAGCGCTCTGGCCAAGGACGTCTACTACAGGTGCAGGGGCGCCACGTTGCTGATGCTGTGAAGGTCAGGCCAAAAAAGGAATGTGATCAGGGGCCACAGCAGGTGGAGAGCAGCAAGTTCAAGGCATGGCGGCCGCCGCCTGGCAGCCAGCCTCCCAACGCTCTTCATCCCTTCATCCATTTGATCATGTTGCCAGGGCCCACCCCGAGGACCTGCGCAAGCTCTACTCGCTGGTGGACGAGTGGCACACCATGTTTGACGCCGTCACGGAGTTCGACTCGCTCAGCAACCTGGCCTCTCAGCTGGTGCCGGTGAGCGGCCCTGCCTGAGTGTGCACCGACACCCCTGCGATTCGTGTTTCAATGCCTCCTCAGCTGCTACCAGGTGGTGTTTGCGCATGTCTATGCATGCCAGTTGGTGTGGTTCTCCGCCGCCACGCGTCCTCCAGATCCCCACAGCTCCAACAATGACCTTCCCTGCCCCGTCCCCCGCGTGCCTCCATGATTGCCAGGGCTACCGCAAGCGCCACATGAACGTGCTGGGCCCCGCTGTTGGCCCCACCACTGCCAACGGCGTTGTCACTGCTTTCCTGCTGGGCCAGCAGTGAGTGGGCCAAGCCTGCCAACCAGATTGGGGGCTGGGTGCCTCTGGCTGATGGGAGCACCAGCTCACTGGCGGCGGCTGCGAGCGCCGGTATGCCATGTAGGGCCTCCCAGGCTTAAGTTTGTTGAAATGTGGGGCTTGAGCCCGTGTAATCAGAAGTTGTCTCTTGTGTGACTCAACCTCCAGCTGTGCCTGGGGGAGACATTGCAGGCATGGGTATTTGCACCCCAGGTGCTTACACAAGCCTGAGCGCAGGTGTGCGTCCGCAGCTGCTAGTTGCTTCTGCTTCAAACTGGCAGCTGAGTGTCTGGTGCGCGGCCTGTTCCCCAACTCTTTGGAGTGCTCTCCATTGTCGAGGCACTACACAGCGCCTTGCAGCGCACAAACTGCACACAAACTTGTGGCACCTTGTCTCGCACACCTCTCGTATTTGGCCTGCCTTGCGCACTCCTTTCTGTCTGTAAGGAACCGGTTGGCACTGGCGCCAGTCCCGCAGCGTCCTGCATCCGCTCGCATGTCCCACCATATGTGTCATAAGATGGCCGCACACCCCAGTGCACGGTGTCGGTAGCAGGCACATCAAGGACTGAAGGCAGGCTCACTGACATCCCGATGGCACTGACCAAGGTCAGGTGAGTCAATATGACGCTTTGTGACACAGCTGACTCGTCGTCCTGATGGGTTACTGCGATTGTCAGGCGATTGGACAGGATGATAATAACCTCGCAATGCTGTTTGTGAATGAACAGCCGGCACGCCTTCGGTATCGTCAAAGCAAGCCGCGATAGTACCGTAATCTTCGTTGAGACCCCTGTTCAGTCAGCTCGAAGCCCCTTCGGACACTCATCACTATGTACATCGATAGCTGTAAGCTCCCATCCCCTGCTCGCCTGAAGCCCGCTGGTGAGCCCTCACATCCGATCCAGACAGAAGCCCTGACACACACCGCCCAATCATCGACCGTGATCCCCTGGCCTCGCCCCTTGTCATCTCACCGGCCTGCACCAGGTACAAGCAACAAGCAGCAGCGGCGTGGCCAAAGTAGTCTCCCTGCGCGCATGGCTGTGCGCACGAGCGCGAGCTCTCGTGATGTGCAGGGGTTGCCACCTGTCGATGCTTGCTTGCCGCCCAACCGCGTCAAGCGATTGGCACCCATGACTTTGTCGGCCGCCGACCTCTTCAATGCCACGTGCACCAACATGGGAGAGCTTATCCATGGCAGGTGTGTGGTATTTTGGTACATGGAACACGGATGTTCTTTCCCTGAGTGCAGGCGCCTTGGAGTACGGCATAGCCTTCCTTTCCCAGCCAGCCCGCACGCATGGGCGCGACCAACCAGCGTCAAACATGGCTAACCCCCTCGCGCACACAGGCCTGTCAGTGGCTACTCAGGTAACGTGGGATGTTGGTGATTTGCGGCAAGGGGACTGGTCTGCTGGTACACCACAGACGGTTGTCATGGTGGTAGGAGCATGACCTTCCACGCCAGCTCGTTTCAGGTCTTTTTTGGCCCCTCGTGCTGAACGCGCCCTGACATCTTGCCATGCTGCCTGCCGCTGAACATGCAAGCCGCCACGCGTATCGCAGGCCGCTGGTGGCGCTGGGAGGGCGGTACCACGAGCCACGAGCTGGACTCTGGGAGGGACGTCTACGCCTTCCGTTGGAGGGAGGGCGCCTGCCACGAGGTCAGAGCCAGAAGGGCAGTTCCTGCATCACAAACAGCTCCCAGTTTGGAGGTTGTCACCCCACCTGTGATTGACTGGTGATGAAATACATGCTGGTCAAGGCACATAGGGGCAAGTCTAGGAGGGGAGCTTGGAAGATCAGGGCTGACAGGGCCGTAGCGTTTGTTTGCACCTGGGGATTGCGCCTCTGCGCCAAGACCATTGCGCGCCTCACATCCTTGAACTAAGGGTAACAGCCCAGCAGAGCAAGCTTGCTTACCTAGTAGCCTGGGCCTCCCTGTGCCCGAGCCAGCTTTCTTCAACACCACCGGAATGCATCCCACTACCTGCCCGCGCCACCTGCATGTGCTGCGCAGGCCACGGCCCAGGTGTGGCTGGCGCTGACCAGCCGGCAGCAGGCATCGCCATTTATTGGCCCCAGAAAGCACCTAGACCCCGTACAGGTGTGTAAAATGGGGGATGCCGCGAGTGCTGAGCACAATCAGAATAGTTCTTGAGGGTGTGCCCCATTCGGGGGTGGCAACCGTCATATGCAACCCCACCTTTCTGCATGCGTGCAGGGACACGCGCAGTGTATTGCATATGGTTGCTTGTGCAGCTGCAGTCCAGATACACGTATGTCGCCTCATCTCACAGCTCAAATCGCTCTCACCGTTGCCATGTTGCTCACCAACACCCCAGTCGGAGCTGGAGCTTCAGACCAACATCATGGAGCTCACGCCCTCGGTGCTCATGTTTCAGGTGGGCTGCTAGCAATCTCACGCACTATGGTTGATCAAGTTTCACATGCATCCTGGGGTAGGGGATGGCCTGGTCGCAGGGAGGTATGGCTGGCGCTCAAGGAATAATTCAAGATGTGCATGAATTTGATCACCTGCATCTCACTCACTGTGGCTGCCGCAAACTGCGAGATGTCAATTCTTACATGACGCAAAGTGCCACTTATCTTAATGTAGATCAGGCTGCCCGCCTCCCCCCCCC